CCACCAAAAACTGAAAAATAAATATTAGAAATTCTCTCACTCACTCTTTAAAAAAAAAAAAAAATTCAAACCTAAATTTAGGGCTGGCTAACTTATCTGCTCTTGYACTCTACAACCCTGCTTTCTTAACAAGTTCCTCCCTAAAACTACAGCACAAGGAAGGGAAAATGGAATGATAGACTCTTACTTGAGAATACTTACCTAAGGATTAAAGGCTCTCTCTCATTCTTTCAATACCTAAATTAATTTTAATCTGAGCCAAAAGTGCACTCTAGTCTAATGAAGATGTTTGACATGCTCCTTTACTAATTATAGCTTTGTCAATTTTTTCTAGAACATCTGTTCTTTCCCAAATTCTGTAGTTTTCAGCTTGTGGTTTTATGGTAAATCCACATTTGATCCTGCATGCCTAAATTAAAATATTTTTCTAAATTAAAATAGTTATTTTACCTAACTATAGAGGTTTTTACACTCTGTTCAGAGGGCTAACTCTCAAATACATTGGAAAAATCTCTATTTACAAAATCCTACCTGTGGAGATCTACCTACAAACAGCTACAAGATCTGTTTCCTGTTTTGTGTATGTGTGCATACCTGGGTATTGTGTTGTTGTGTCTACATATGTGCTGGTGTTCATGTATCATGTACATGGTATCAAAGTTGGCATACAGGTAAATGAGCAAATATAAATGTACTGATATAAACCAAAGTTTAATCCTCTACAGGTTAAAGTAACAAGGATTTCTTAAAACATTAATCTGCTCTTATCTAGCAGGATAATTTCTGTGTTAAGTTTTATTCTTTAGAGAAACTAGTCTTAAAGGCTTCTTCATCTTATCTTCCAAGTATATAAGTCTTTAAAGTTTAAGGTTTAGAAGAACATTTTACCAAACTGGTGTTCTTGAAACTAATGTTTAAARTAAAGGTTTGAGATTATAAAAATTATGTTTATTGACTCATAGCTATTATACAAACTAAATATTTTTACTCTTGTTAATTTCATTTTATATTTTCCTTGGAAACCTAACTGTTCTCTGTTAGTGCCTAAAAGAAGTACAACTTCTAAAGACTATCGACCCCAATTAAACAGAAGGGATAAAATATAAAGTTATAGACATTAAAGGTAAAACTTGGTACCGTTAAGACTGGTGAAACTGGCATGCTGAATGTTTAAGACCAAAGCTTAGAGACTAAAGTTAAGGAAATAAAAGGTCCAAGAAAGAAAAATAAACCAATATTTGGCTCTTGCCCTCTGAGGCCAGCTTGGACCCAGGGAATGACAGCACTTCTCTAAGGGCTTTGCAACTCTGGGCCACTGACCTCCCAATCAGGAGGACCAATGAGATGCTGGAGTACAGAAAGCCATCCAGTATACAAGTTGCAAATAGGAGGGCCATTGGAGAAGGAGATGTCCCTAATACTTTCAAAGGAAGTCATATGGTCAATGAGATCCTGACCCCTTCTGGAAGATGGCACTAGAGGTGCTAAGAGGCTTCCCTCAAGTTCCCAAGAGTGACCCCTCTGAGGGAACTCAGCTGATTCTTAACAATAGATAGGAACAAGGTCAATTTGACCAGATTGATCTTAAAACACCTACCAAAAACAGTTATAACCAAAGTACAGCCATACCTGGGCATTTAAAAGAAAAATAGTTCTTTAAATGAAACTTGTGTCAGCCCCATAGTCCTGGTGCCCCATAAATTCTGAGGTATTTTTCCTTTGCAAGGTTCATATTTACCCTTCCTCACCAAAAAATTGGACTGGCCTCTGTACCTTGGTCTTCCTTACTCTTCAAACTGACCTTTTATCTAATAAGCAAAAGTTTGCCTAATCCGATAATGACACACACTAGATGAGCCCACCAGTTTATTCCCTTACTCATAGGGCTAGAGATATCCACTGGAATTGGCACGGGCGCAGCGGAATCAGGAACCTCTTTTCACTACTATAATAAGTTGTCAGAACAGGTTATGGAAGATATTCAACAGGTTTCCGATTTGGTATTGACTTTACAAAATCAATTGGATTCCCTGGGGTCTGTCATCCTGCAAAATCATCTGGGCCTAGATCTCCTTAGTTCGGAACAAGGTGACCTCTACCTTTTCCTCAGGGAAGAATACTGCTTCTATGCCAATCAATCAGGATCGGTAAGGAATGAGGTTAAACAACTACAGGACCCACTGGAACAGTAGAAAGAACTAGCTGATTCCTGGTGGGCCTCACTGAAAAACCTAAAACAGTGGACTTCCTGGCTTCTCCCTTTTAGGTGTGTGTGTGGGGGGGGGCATACCAGAACTTGAACCTAGGAGCATTCAACCACGGAGCCACATCCCCAGCGCTATTTTACATTTTATATAGAGACAGGGTCTCACTAAGTTACTTAGTACCTTGCTATTGCTGAGGCTGGCTCTGAACTCGTGATCCTCCTACCTCAGCCTCCCAAGTCGCTGGAATTACAGGCATGGACTACCATGCCCAGTGCTTCTCCCTCTTTTAACTCCTCTAATACTTGTTTTTCTTATAATAATCTTTTTTCCCCTGCTTTAACTTTRTACAGAAGCAATTTCTTGAAAAGGTTACCTGACTAACCCAGATCACCTCCTAAGAACATGCAAAAGCCATTTTCCTCCTTCACTCACAACATGATTCTCCTAAACCCCATAAGGAATCACCCACTAGATGCTGAAGTTCCCTTTCTCTATAACTCCTCAAGCCACAACCACCAGGACTGTATAACCCCCACCTTCTTATCCTACTTCAGATCTCTAACAGGGAATTCCCCTATTCCACACCTCCTCAGCACTTCCTCACTGGAAGACCTCAGCAGAGGGTAGCCAAATATGATGAATTCGCCCCAAGTCATCTGGAATGAAGGAGGTGGAAACTTAGAACCCTTGGGTGGGACAGACACACACACAACAAGGACAACTGAGGATTCTAATCTTTCGCAGTTTCCCTTACCTGACAAAGTTCCCCGGCCTGCTAAAAGCCCACCGGCCAAAAGTAAATGACAAACTTTTCCCGCAATGTGGCCCTATAAAACTCAGACCTTGTTGTAGCCAGTCAYCATTTTTCCCTTAAAATGTGCCCCTCCATTGCATAATAAATCATCACTGATTGAGATATGTCTTTTTTTTTTGTATTCTCTTTCATTTGCTTTCAATCCCCACCTTCAGAGACTATGTACTTCAAGGTACTTGAAGCCAGTCTACCATTTTGGAATTCATACATATACATACATGTTTATGTTTGTATGTGTGATTTGTCTAATTTCTACTACTATGCCTTTAAGTGCAATAACTTTTTAAAATATTTTTAATTGCAGATGAACACAATACTTTTATTCTTTACGTGGTGCTCAGGATCAAACCCAGTGCCTCACATATTCTAGGCAAGTACTCTACCACTGAGCCACAAACCCAGCCCTGCAATAACTTTTATAACATTTAGCCTGTCATTCATTCCATCCAGTCTATTTGTGACCTCAAATAGTTCAATTTCAAGAAGTTCAATTTAAGTCTTCTATGTCTTCCACATCTCTACTTAACTGTTTGTACAAATGGAATACAATTCTGTCTTAATGTCTTTCTCTCATCATTCTTTGTCAGTTCCTGCCTAATTTCAATTGATTGATTCTCCTCATTTATTAAGTATGTTTTCTTGCCTATTTGCATACTCATTAATATCTTTTTTTGCACACCAAACACTGCAAATAATTTTTTTTAATGTTGGATACTTTTATAATCTTGTAAATTCTCTTGAGCTTCATTCTAGGATGGAGTTAAATTACCTGGAAACAATTTGATCCTTTTGGGTCTTGCAGTCATTTATTAGGTGAATCCAGAGCATTATTCACTTTAGGGATAACTGTTCCTTGCTACTTAGGGTAAATTTTCTTCAGTACACTACCCAATGTCCCATTAATTTTAAGTATTTCCACTGTGGTTGGTGGAAGTAAGCATAGTGTGTAGTTCTGTGTAAGCATCAGGTACTCAATTATTCCCTCTAATCCTTTCAGGTAGTTGTTTTCAAATTCAGGCATTTGCCTCACATGAATGTCCTAATCAGTACTCTGCTGAATAGTCAAGGTGAACCCACTATGAATCTCTGGATTTCTGTGGCTTTACTGCTCTGTCCTCTCTGGTAATCTGTACGATGCATTCTAGCTGTACTGGATGTCCTAAACTCTTAGCACTACTTCCTCAACTAAAAAGTCTACAAGATTCTACCTCAGATACCCATCCTTGTGTTGCAGCCTGAAAACACACATGGCTATAGGACAGAGCAATCAAAGAACTAATCTGTTTCTTATCTCTTGAGAATTGCTTCATTTGTTCCCTAATCTAGAAAATGTTGGGTTTTTTGGGGTTGTTGCAGGAGAAAGGGGTAAATCCCATCCCTGTTACTCCATGTTAGCTATAAACAGATATTCTGTACCAGAGTCGACAGATTTTATATAATAAGGGGAAAAAAAGTTCATTGATATGGCTCTTAATTCACATCACAGGTAACATTTAAACAAACTACTGCTTGTTCAGATTGAGTATGACATTAAAGAAGATAAGTAATTATAAAACTATTTTTTATAATATTTCCCCTTAGCAAGAAATTTTCACAATAAATATTTTGTTTAGGAAAATTGTTACTTTTCATTTAAAAAAATGTTTATGTTAATAAGCAATAGGCTTATTTTACAGTGAATTTTAAATTTTTAAAATATTTTTCTCCATTTTAATTTCTAATTCAGAAAATAACAACAGATATAGCACATATAAAGAAAAACTCTGGGATTCCCAATAAATTTAACAGTATAAATCCTTATACTCTTAAATGAGAGAAAACAGTTAAAACTATTCATAATATCATCATATTGTGCCAAGGATTCCACAGTAATGTACATCTTAACACAAAAAAAGCAATTAACAAAAGTAATTAATGAAAATTGCTAGAGAGATATAGATAGGTACACATTTAAAGTTATTATTTTATTAAACTCTTACTTGGAAGTTTCAGGCAAACCAGCTGAGAGTTCCAAAAACACAGATAAGTAGTATCCACGGACAACTCCATTTCCATCCTAAAAAACAAGAAGGTTAACTTAGAATTATGCAGAGGAGAGTGAGGGGAAGGAAGTGGGTGTGGGGATGTGATGGAATGAGACAGACATTATTACCCTATATACTTGTATGATTATACTACTGGTATGACTCTGGCACCATGTTCAGCCACGGGAAGGAGAAGTTGTGCTCCATTTGTGTACAATCTGTCAAAATGCATTCTACTGTCATGTACAACTAACAAGAAAAAATTTAAAAAATAAAATTTAAAAAAGAATAAAGTTCTTTAAAAAACAAGGTTATGCAAATAGAAACTGTTTATCAATTTTTAAAAAAAATTAAACCACAAGCTGAAGGCAAAAAACAAACACCAAAAAAACGAAAAATTTATGGCACAGTAAGATCAACAAAATGCAGATTAATATCTTACATCTGAATTGTGAAATATTTTTAACCTTAAAAGCAATAAAATAAATTATAAAACACCAACAGGTCTGAGTCCATAACAGTTTTAAACTTCTGTACATTAAAAGTGAAAATATCAAGGCATACAACTTAAGGATTAACAAGTCTGAAAAGTGTTAAGAGGTTTAACATACACAGAACTCTTCACAAAAACTAGCCTAAGAAAACAAAAATTCATGGGCCAATTTAAGAAAATATATGGGTCAAATCCTGAATTCACCATCAGCAAATGTTTTTATAGTTTTATATTTTAATATTTTAAAGCATTTTTAAAAGAAGAATTTTAAATATTTCTTCTAAGCATAATTCTTTTACAAACCAGAAATAAAATTTAATCATGTCTCAGGATTTGTTATATCCACACTTAACTCATTTTTCCACAGATTTAGTAATGTATCCCACAAAGAAACAAAATCATCATTACTTTAATTTCCTTACTCCATTAAAACATTAAACTAATACACCATGGAAGAATAAATGATCTTTGGTTTCAAAATTAGAAATATAAAAAACTTACTGGGTAAACTTTTAATCTCCAACAGAGTCCTGAAACTTGAAGAGGTGGACTGTAAACAGGATCTGCTCTCTGGCGCAAAGTGCTTAAGAAAAAAAACAACCAAATCCCAAGATCAAAACTGTAAAAACGGCAATAAGTTTAAAAACCAACTTCTTTCTTCGAGTTACTTATATGAAATCCTGAACAACTCATAGATAGCAACTGAATAAGTCAAGATTTCACTGTTAAGTTTAGATAATATCTACATTCTGAAATAAGAGAAAATTTAATAGTGAAATATTCAGCAATATCTATAAAGTTCAGTAAAAATGAAATTGTGACATTCAAGGGAAAAGAAAAGAATCATTAAGTTTCCTGAAGTTAATTCTGCTCCAATAAGCAGTCTTTCATCATCCCTCCACTCCACCTCTCCCAATAAGCAGTCTTTCATCATCTCTCCACTCCACTCCCCAAAAAGGCTGGAGGCATGGCTCATGGTAGATCATCATATGCTTAGCATGTGCAAAGCCCTGGGTTCAATCCCAGCACTGAACAAAAAACAAGAAAAGCAAAATATTTATTTCCCACTTCTGTGTAGTATAATTATCCTTTTTTAATATGGAAAAACAAGAGAATAACCTGCTAAACCTTGATGTATATGGGGAAAACCTCTTAGAGACTATGCTTTAGCCACAAAATTATCCCATAAGAAAAAACACATTAGATGAGGAAAATCCTTTTTTTTTTTTTTTTTTTGGAAGGGGTACTGGGTATATTTAACCCAGTGTGTTTTACCAAATCAGCTCTATTCTCAATCCCTTTTATTTTTCATTTTGAGGCAGGGTCTCACTAAGTTGCTCAGGGCCTTGCTACATTACACAGGCTGGCCTCAAACTTGCAATCCTCCTGCCTCAGCCTCCCAAGTCACTGGGAATAAGGCATGCACCACTGCACCCAGCAGTATAACCTTATTTTGATGTTATTGCCTACTCCAAGTTCTTTTCCCAAAGACCTTATATTTTTAGTTCCCAGTTTCATGTTACCCTTGAAGACAAGTCCCTGAGGATCTTAGTGATTTTGAATCTTTGCTTCTAAACTAAAAACAGCAAAGGCTAATAAAATTAACATGCAACTTACGAAGCCTGTAAGTTTCTTATAATAGCCTCTTATAGCCAATTTCTCACTTTGGAGCTGAAACAAATGGACCCCAACACTTTTGTTTCGTAGGATGACTTCTATATATCTGGCCCCGCACTTTAGCAAAAGCTAAGTAGACTCTCTTCTTTAAAATGTTTATCAGTCTTGGTAGAACATAAATAATCTGAGAATTTAAAATTCAAAACATTCCAAAATCTGAAACCTTTGAGCTCCAACATGAATCTACAGTGGAAAATGCCACACCTCACCTCATCTGATGTGTTGCAGTCAAATCACAAGGCACTAACAATACCATACAAAATTACCTGCATGCTACAAATATAATGTGTGTGTATAAAACAAATGAATTTCATGTTTAGACTTACATTCTGCATCATTAAACATATGCAAATATTCCAAAATCTAAAATTTGAAACACTTCCAGTCCTAGCATTTCAGATATTGTACAATTGAGACCACCATCTATGTTTCTAATAGGAAACTCATTTCTTCTAAGATTATTAATCTAAGTAACACAGATCACCAATCTCTATCCTACTGAAGAATCACATTTTTTTACTTTTCCTTATGTATACATACAAAAAAAAAAAAACACAAAGTTGTCAAAAACCCTTACCTGAAATTCTCTAAAACAAAAGTGGCTGAATCATAGGATGGCACTAATTCACTAAAAAGAAGCAAAAAAAAAAAAAAATTATTTAGCTTAATATGCAACTTTAAAATTTCATTTAGTTTAAAAACAAAAAGTCCCTCAATAATACCTTTAAAACTTTATTAAACTAGTCCCTATGAGATATTTCCAAATCCTTGTTAAATATAATATTAAATGAATTCCTAAAACTACCAAGTTTTWAAATTTTACAAAGAGACTAAAAAAGTATACTCAAGAAAATAGGAAAAAGAAAGAAATTGGTGCTTAGGCTACAATTTTGAATTATAAAACAAATATAAGCAGGCTTTAGAAATGAAAAGAAACAGCAAAGTTAAAAATATCATAATTTATCCAAAGAATTCCTTCAAAACAACTTTGTAGAAATATTAATAGACTTTAAATATACTCTGAGACTACTTACTAGTAAATAAACCTACATAATACATAATCACTTAGGAGATAAATGGGATGGACTAGCATAATAATACTTTCTTGGCAATGCAAATTTACCTAAAACAACTTTAGTTCCATACTATCTCCTCTAAAGAGAACTTAACTATAACTATAGCAGATGGGATATGAGATAATCCATTTTGCTGGTAAGTACCCTTAGATCATGTGGATGGTGTGTGGTACTCTCATTAGAACACCTCAAAAGTCATTAAAGCACCATTTATTATAAAAATCCTATCATATACAGTGTTTTAATAYACACTATAAATTTGATAAAAAGTTTAACAAAACAACAAACTGAAAGCCATTTCACAATATCTTCAGATACATTTTCTAAAGTCAATTCATCAAAAATTTGACCAAAATAAGATAGGGACACATCAATAACATTGTCACACTATGATAGTGCCTAAAGAAATTAGTGATTTGCCCTATGAAAATACAGTATTGATAAAAAATAAATTATTCTTTATTCAGCTAAATAGGTCACATCTTTTTCACAGTAAGGAGATGTACTTTGCCCTGCAATTGTTAACTATAAAACTACTATCCAAATTGACTATGTGAAGCACTCATATCCCTGGTCAATTGTTACCTGACTCATATTCTTCACCCCTAGATCTTTAATCCCCTTCATGTAAGTGATTTAGAAGTCAGATATTCGTGGAAATCAGCCCTAAGGTCTCCCCATTATATGCTTTCTAGCAGAAATAATGCCCTTAGTGCCTAAGAAGTTTTAATGGAACCACAAATCTAATCAGAGGTCTAATAAAGTCCCAATAAAGTCCTCAAATTTGTTCACAAAGTGGTATGTTTTGGGCTATAATCTTATGTAATTTACAGTATGGTCAGTTTGCCTATATTTAGATCATCCTCATAGTATCTAAAGATTTCAACCAATCCCCAGCTGCCTGATGAGCTATGTAGTGTTTCTCCAATCATGCCCTCAACATCCAGTGTAATATCGTTCCTTTGTTGTTATTACCTTAAATCCAGACTATCATTGTCACACACACAACCTCCATTATCCCACTGTGGTGAGGATCAAACCCAGAATCTGACACATAAAAGGAAGGGCTCTACCACTGAGCCACATCCCCAGCCCTCATCAGCCACTAAGGGTTAAAAGAGTTTATCAGAATATAAACAGCAGAAGATGACCCAGTCAACTGAAAATGATCTAAGAAAAAGTTTACAGGATGAAGACTACAGTTGCCAAAACTCACTAACCAAGATATTACAGTGTAGTCTAGCTCTCACTAGATGAGGAAAAAATGATCACACTCAGAGCACAGAAAATAGATCTGTCAATCCAATATATTGCAATATACTTCTACATATGTACCTTTCAGGGAAAATGCAGACACAAACAGCACTATATCAAATTAGTGCAATGAGATAGCATAAAACAGGATGCATACACTTCCTCTATTACCAGTCATCACATTTTATGACTGCTCCAGTCATCTCTCACTAAACCCTAACTCATCAATCACAAGGGCTCTTCTACTGCATTTTCTGCTAACACATGCTTGGAACATGGCTAACATTTAAATAAATATTCACTGAATGAATATTTATAAATATTTGCTGTCAGATCATGAAGAGAAACATTTGCTCAAACATTTATTTTGCACTCTTTACCTATATACTCAAAGCCATATCTACAGCTAAATGGTCTATTCCACCTTTAACTATTTATTAACAACTCCAAATTGTGATTATTCAGGTTATCTTTAATCTTATTATTACCATTCTCAGTCTACACATAATGCATTGCTATATCTTCTCCTCATAATTTTATACCTCGTCTCACAAACATAGACTATTCTTTATGAATGGATTCATCTTGTGATGATGTCAATCTTCATCTTCACAGAATATGGGGAAGTAGCCTCAAATCCATTCTATGCTTTCTATATGATTTCCATATGCTTTCTAGCAAAAATAATGCAATTAGTGCCTAAGAAGCTTTAATGGAACGATAAATCTAATCAGTAATTTGCAAGCCAATGAGTTGTGCATCTTTAGAAATATGACCTCCTCCTAACTTAATGAATAAAGGATGGAAAGAGAAGACAAGTATCCACTTTATTCCCTTAAGGAAATAGATCAAGCTGCATAAAAATTGGTTCTCCCTCCCAACTTGACCATTCTCCCAGAAACTTATAATCTCTATGGACTCAGAGCTATACTATTCTCTCTTCTCAGTTCTCCTTAGGGACACTTAAACAGTTCTATTTCTCATTATGCCCCAACAATAAATAACCTTTCAAATTCTAGCTAAGATTATTCCCTGTTATCCCCCGAATATAACAGCTTTTATCATATCCATATTTTCATTTATGTATACATACCCATTCTCATCTTTCCAACAAAATCCTACATATCTTTCAAGGCCTTTCCCAATTCTTTTCCAGATTATACTTTTCTTGACCATTCCAGTCTATACCCTGACTTCTTTTCAGAACTGATATAAAATGGTATATAAATGAGTACAAATATTTGATTTTAAAAAACAATTCTTAACTACTTAATATGGAACATCTGACTGATATTTTTAGTTCCTCTTCAACACCTACAATAGTGCTAGCACCTTTTCATCTCCATAGTGGCTTCAACACCAAACATTAACAGAACTAAAGACAATCCAGTCTCAATCTCAAAGCTTAAAACATCACTGCTTCGCACTTCTAAACTTTGATTTGTAACTTAACATCAATAAATGCCAGTCTCTTTTATTTGGCCAGCTCTTCTTTGCTGATCAAGTTATCAACAGATCACCTCTGTTTCCTGTATATTGCAATAATAAACTAAGTCTCCAATAAAAATTAGAGTTAAGCTAAAAGTCAAAATTTCCAAAAAGGTGGTGGGCATTACTAGAGAGGAAGCCACTTAATTATCACACTGGAAAGCACTATTGCTTGCCTGATAAACTGTTGAAAGTTGGTAACAGGATAGAAATTTACCTGAATCAGTGGTTTTCCAACTATACTATGATATTAATATTGCTTAGGGTGCTCAAGAAGCATTTTCTAAGGGCTGGGGATGTTGCTTAGTGGTACAGCACTTGTTCAGCATGCATGCATTGAGGCCCTGGTTTGATCCCTAGCACCATAGAAAGAAAAAAAAGAAAGAAAGGAAGGGAGGGAGAGAGGGAGAAAGAAAGGGAGGAAGGGAGGAAAGAAAAGGGAATAGAAAGAGAGGGAAAACCAAGAGGAAAAGCAGCAGTAGAATTTTCCCAAACAATCTAAATGTTAAATGTTAAAAGCTATGTTTTCTTCCACTGGTCATAGACTGGAAAACAGTACCTTTGAAACTGAAATGTGACCACACAGTTAAATAGAGGAAGCACTGGGACATTGGTGAATATTCTTTATTTTATATATATATATATATATTTTTAGTTGTAGCTGGACACAATATCTTTACTTATTTTTATGTGTTGCTGAGGATCGAACCCAGTGCCTCACATGTGCTAGGCACGCGTTCTACCACTGAGCTACAGCCCCAGCCCTGGTGAATATTCTTAAATCACCCAAACCTATTAATGATAGCAAATACCCAATACTTTTAAAATTTTTCAGTGCTTTGATGTTATTTTATCAGGTATTTCGTTTGTCTGTTAGTGGTACTAGGGAATGAACCCAGGGTAATTACTACTAAGCTATATCCCCAGCCCTTTTCATATTTTGAGACAGGWTCTCACTAAAGTGCTGAAGCTGAACTCAGACTTGTGATCCTCTTGCCTCAGGCTCCTGAATATCTGGGATTTCAGGTGAATGCCACCATGCCTGGTTTTATCAGGTTTGTTAATCAGAAACAAAGACTTCCCTTGCATATCAGTAAGTTTGCCTTTCTGTTTATAGGACTATGGGACCCCCACTCATGATCCTTAAAAATCCATCTAGGATAAGGAACAAGTGCATTTACCAGTAATTCCCAGCCAGGGGTGATTTTGCCCTCAGAGAATATTTGGCAATGTCTGGAAACATTTTGTTACAACTGCAAGGTGATAATGTTGGAGTRCTACTGGCAAGAGGGTGCTATATCCTACAACACACAGGAAACTCCCTCCATAATACAAAATATCCAACTCAAAATGTCAAAAATGCCAAAGTAGAAAAACCCTGGTTTACAACATATACTCCAGTGCAATGTATGCCTTATGGCCATTAGAGAGCATTGTTATAGAGAAAAGGAAAGTGAGTTCAAAAAAAATTTAATTTTATAACAAGAGTTGTTTTCTAAATGAACCATAACTCTCCTCAACATGCAAGAAAAACATGATAGTTTTTTCATAAGCCACCTCTAAAGTATAAGATAAAATGTGTCATACCAAAATATTAATCTGAAACATTGGCCCTCATTTTATGAATAAGCTAAGATTTAAAAAGAACAAAYTGTGTTAATCTGTACTTAAAGTTAATGAACTGAATTGTCACCCCAAATTCCTACATGGAATCCCTAAACCCCCATGTGACTTGGAATTAGGGCCTAAGGAAGTAATTAAGGCTAAATGAGGTAAAAGTGGGGCCCTAATCCAATAAGGCTGTTGTCCACATAAGGAGAATAAACACGAGAGACTGATCTCTCCTTGTGTGAACAGAGAAAACGTCACCTGAAGACAGTGAACGCAAATTCAGAAGCTTCACCAGACACTGAATTTTCTGATACTTTTTCTTGACTCTAAAACTGTGAGGAAGTAAATTGTTTTGTTTAAGCCACCCTGAAAGTTTGTCAAGACTTTATAGCCAACTAATAAATACACAGAAAATTCGTTTCAAATGGACTGGGGTATGGTCTAGCACTGACACTTTTCAACAGAATCTCAAGCATTAGTGTTAAGAAAAATAGTGTATTTCTACATATGATAAAAAATATGCTTTAAGAAAAGTTTATAGATGAACACTAGAAACATACACAGGTTGCAATTGCTGCAATAGTTTCCTCCCACTATCTTTGAAGATCCAGGTCATATTGGACATTTTATCCACTTCTTAATTCTGTTTAACAAGATACAAATTAAGTCAAAAGATAAATAAAAGATTCAAGAAAAAAGTTTTTAATTCACTCTCTTTTTGTTTGTTTCTTTTAGTCTATTGTCTTTTATTTTTTGTATTGGGGACAGAACAAAGGGGCACATTACATTGAGCTATATCCCCCGTCCCTTATATATTTTTTTAAAATTCTGACCAAGTGGTTTAGTGCCTCACTAAATTGCTGAGGCTGGCTACAAATTTGTGACTCTCCTACCTCAGGCTCCCAAACTGCTGGGATTACTGGTGGGTACCACCTATTGAGCTGAGACCAGATTTACATTCGTAACAGAGATCACATTATAAAAAGCATCTTATAAAGCTATATAGACTTAAGAAGATTTATTCTTTGGAAACAAGTGTATATCTTTGCACACAAACGTCAAATGAAAATGTCATACCTGGTAAAGTCTGGTGGAACAGGAGTGGTAACAAAGGATGCCATGGGCTTTCGATGAACTTGCTGAAACATCATTAGGATCTCAGAGCTCTTAGATATTAACTCACTCTTACTACAAGACCGCAACTGTGTGAGGAAAAGAATTATCTAAACCAACAAAATCACTATTCAATGGCACCTCAAAATTTTTAGTAAAGAACTAAAAATTAATCTAGTTTTATACCCCYYCAAAAAAAGAGAGAAAAATAAAAATAAATCAATGGGGGTTTGAAAATTCTCAATCTTCAAAGGATCTAAGTTTTTATTCTAATATAAAATGGTTGAATCAAGATTTGAATCCATTTTTCTCCCCTCATATTTTAGGATAAGCATATATTGAACAACTACAAATATATTTCCACACTGGTACAGTGACGCTATTATTTGTATTAACAAACAAATCCTGTGGGTGGAAAGCCTATAAAAAGCAAGCATTTTTTTCAATGGCATTATAGGTAATAGAAATTTTAAGATATAAAACAAAAATACACACATACACACACACACACACACACACACACACACCCCTTACTTAACCTATATCAATTCCAGAAATACTACTACATTTCAAAGGTAGGAAGTGAGGAATCTGGGACTGGGGTTGTGGCTCAGTGATACAGCACTTGCCTAGCATGTGGGTTTGATTCTCAGCACTGCATATAAATAAAAATAAAGGTCCCTCAATAACTAAAAAGTATATATATATATATATATTAAAAATATTTAAAAAGTGAGAAACCTAACTTTAGTAAAAATAAGCATAGTAGTTAAAAGACCACTAATTTTTGTATTCAACAAAGAGTTTGGAGTTCTAATTCTGCCAATGAGTACTTACATGACTAAGTCTATTTACACATAAAGTTGAAATAATATTTACCACTGCTTCTTTCATTCATTTTGTTGTAAAGAACACAAAGTTTTATGTGAAAACAGTTTCATAACCTATTAAGGAATGAACTGTCTCTCTCCCAATCACCCAATTTATGTTACAGGCACAACAGCCTCCAGAACTATGAGAAACTAAATTTCAGTTGTTTAAGCCTCCCAGGCATGCAGTATTATTCTACTATACAGTCCCAGCAAACTAATACACTATCAAATTCCATTTGAATGATGTTCATATATGGTTTGGGTATCAAATGTCCATATGCTAAGGGCTTGGTGATCAGCCTATGAAAATATTAGGAAAAACCTTTAAGAGGTRGAAGGAAGTTAGGTCACTGGGGATGTGCCTAAAAGGGGGATATTGGGACCCTAACCCCTTTCTCTCGTTCTTCCTTCCCAGTTGCTAAGAGGTAAAAAGGTTTCCTCCACCGTGAACTTCCACCATAATGCCTTATTATAGGCCCCCAAACAGGGCTATATAACCTTAGACTGAAACTGTAAACCAAAATAAATTTTCTCCTTTAGCAACAGAAAGCTAACACAACACACTACAATTGGATTAACATCTTTTGAATAACAGTTTGTATAGCTCATAAAGAATAATATAATCTTGGTTTTACCAAGAATAATGACATATGATTAAAGGACTGGATCAATCAACATACTAGAAGTCAAAAGGATAGAAAAAATAAGCAGATGCATATTTTTCCCTTTACATTATTATGTATCAAGCATTGCCCATGTCATTGATGTTTTCTGAACAACTTACTTTAAACAATCTAATGTACACTGAATGTTAGCTAATTCTGATTTTTAAGGTATGTTTTTTAATCACTGAAATGTGATATATAGAAAAAGTTTTAATTTATATTTTTCACTAGATATTTATTGAATACTTATTATGTGTATCCTCCCTTGATACCACTTATTCCTAAGCAACTTGCTCCTTCAACTGAAGTTTATCATCACATATGTATTTCTACAACTGTGTGTATGTGTTTGTGTATTCATAAACAATGTTCTGTGCACTTTCCAACTTTACATAAATATCCACAGTATCACAGTGTACCGTACATTTTTCAATATTGTCTTCAAAGACTGAATTGTAGTGACACTTATCAACTTATTTCAAGAGTTCTAAAGAATGCCTTTGTATGAAAATAGCAAAAATCCTTTATCCACATTTATGTTGTTTCCCAGCCTTCACTACTAACTTTAGAGTAAAGACATTTGTACATAGCTCCTAGACAATTTGTACTAGTCTAAGACTAGAATTACTGGTAGAAGCATACCAACAGATTCAGCAGATATTAACAACCTGTTCTCCAAAATAGTCCAACAGATTTATGCAAATCTCTCAAAGGTGAATAAGTTCCATATTATCATTTATTCTTTTACKTAAAAATTTTTATAAATCTAATGGTTATTAGATAGCATTTTGCTATGGTTTTACCAAATGTTTCCTAGTTTATCAGTGAAATTCATTTGCTTGCCACCCAGCATCCACATCTGTATATTAATCCATATCCTTGATCACTTTTTGTACCATTATTTTAGCTGTATATTATAGTTTGGGTTGTTAGTTTTTTTTGTTGTTGTTTGCAGTGCTGGGATTTGAACCCATGGCCTCACAGCAAGTGTTATACTGCTGAGCTACATCCATACCCCAGAGTTGTATTTCTTAATAAATCCTGTATACCAATTCAGTTTCGGGAATGACAAATAACTTCTCCCAATCTGTGGCTCATCAACCTATTTTTTAAAGATTGTTTTGTTCAAAATAAGTTTTAATTTTAACATAGCTAAGTTTTTCTCCTTATATTTTGTGCCTATTGTGACTTAAGAGGTCTTTCCTTTCCCTATATCAGATATTTTCCTCTTAAAATAACATGAAAAATCAAATTTCACTCTTCATATTTAGGTCTTTAATCCATCTGGCACTGATTCTTATCAGAGTTAAGATGAAGATCTAATTTTATTTTCCCAATGTATAACTGTCAATATTTGTTGAAAAGCAAATCCTTCTGCATCTTTGTCATAATATATCTATCTTTTGGTTTTGGGGTTGTTTTGGTTTTGGTACTAAGGTTTGAATCAAGGAGTATTTTACCACTGAACTACATTCCCCAGTCCTTTTTGAGACAGTATCATGCTAAGTTGAGGCTCTCCTAGAACTTGCAATGCTCCCATCTTAGCCTTCCAAATTACTGGGATCATAGGCATGCCATCATACCCAGTTAGTAAAACAGACTATTAAGCATGCTTATATTATATGCCATTAAGAAAACCTTTAATTATGACACATCTCATTTCACAAATAAAAAATGTACATCTGAGAATGAGACTCGGTATTTTTCTTCATTCAGCTGTTTTGTTACCTTATAATTGACTCTACAAAGATCTTAAATATCTGTCAGATTTATGCACAGATCCTTTAGTAGTATTTCTTGCTATTATGAATAAAATCTTTTTCAAATAACTTTTCTAACTAGTTATTCCTGATGTAGGAACACAACTGATTTTTATGTGCAACAAAGCTCACTAAAGAGGGTCTAAGAGTTAATATATTGTCTACATACTTTTTGCATATGAAGAGTACTATCTTTTCCTTTCCATATATATATATTTACTTTAACCACTGAGCTACATCTATAGCTGTTTTTATATTTTGAAACAGGGTCTCAATAAGTTGATTAGGTCCTGCTAAGTTGCTGAGGCTGACTTCAAACTTGCAATCCTCCTGCCTGGGGCCTCCCAAGCCACTGGGATTACAGGCAGGTGCCAGCTCCTGTCTATATTTAAATTGCACTTTTCTCAATTCAATAAATAGGACTTCTGGTAAGAAGTATTGCCAATAGGCAATCCTGGATTACTTTTTTTTTTTTTTAAGAGAGTGGGAGAGGAGAGAAAGAGAGAGAGAGAGAGAGAGATAATTTTTAATATTTATTTTTTAGTTCTCGGCAGACACAACATCTTTGTTGGTATGTGGTGCTGAGGATCGAACCCGGGCCGCACGCATGCCAGGCGAGCGCGCCACTGCTTGAGCCACATCCCCAGCCCCCTGGATTACTTTTTAAAAATTTTAACAGATGACATAAAATCACAAAAAAAATGAATGTAAAAGTGATATGTCAAGTTTCAATATGTCTATAAATTGTGTTATATTTAAATCAGTTTAAACACATCTACCACCTCAAACACTTATCTTTTTAAGACTTTGAAAATCTCTTTTTTTAAACTTTATAAATAAACAGTATAGGAATGCTATAGTCACCCTACTATTCTTTTATCAAACTATAACTTAGTACCCACTGATCAAACTTCCCCAACAGATAATTAAAAATCTGGGAAATACTTTCTATTACTCTGGATTTGATGTATTTTGAAAGAGACTTATGAACAATTTACTTAACACTTATTGGCTTAAATTATATTAAGTCACTTTCATTAATTACAAGTTTCTGGAAAATTATCCTCTTCTTGTGGATTCTACTTAAATGAAGTAGCTCATAATGTGCAAAGCACATAGAACAGAGCCTGATATAAAGTAAATACTTTATATAACTACTTAAAAGATATTTTTATTCTTCAAATTTCTTCTACCTTTGCAATTTTATCCCAGTTTTCCCTCCCACTATACTGTAAGATGATTTATTTTTCTTGGTCAAACCTGATTAAACTTTCACTTAACTCATTTCTTTCCCAAGAYACAATTATATTGTTCGTCTCAACTACTTTGTGGCATTTTGTGTTAATTTCGTCTATCTTAACCATTTCTTCCCATTTTATGCTTCTATATTCTTATTGCTTTCCTGGTTTCTTTAGTTGAGAACAATTCGTTTTTTTATAATTTATTAAAATAATTAGTTGGGTGCAGTGGCACAAACCTGTAGGGAGGAGGATCACAAGTTCAAAGCCAKCCTCAACAAAAGCAAGGTGCTGCTAAGCAAACTCAGGGAGACCCTGTCTCTAAATAAAATACAAAACAGGCCTGGGGATGTGGCTCAGTGGTTGAGTGCCCCTGAGTTCAATCCCTGGTACCCAAAAATAAATTTAAAAAAAATAAATAAATGTTTTTCGGAATTAATTTTCTTCTACACATCCCTTACATACAGCTGGCATGTTAATAATTTTATATTTTCAACAGTGATTTAACTCATAACAAYTGAGTTATATTTGAACATTTTAAAGAATATTTTAGA